CAGAGGCTGAAGAGATCTAAATTACAAAAGGCTGTTTTCTAATATATGTGATATATGTGTGACCTAAGACTTTATTTACCTTACCTCACCTTTCCTTACCTTACCTTCCTGCACACCAGTTTTGGTTTCAATTGTAAGACAGTGTGACCTGTGATTTGCCTTACGTAAGCTTAGCTTAGTTTACCTCACCTTACCTCACCTCTTTGTAATAAAGACGAACATTTCAAATGTTTCGATACTGCTCAGGGAACACAAATTTTGGTTTCAGTTGGTTTCAACAGTGTGACCTGAGACTTGACTTACCTTACCTTACCTCTTTATGCTTTAAAGTTGTGAACAAGTTAAAGATATTTCAGTCATTTTGTTAAGTTTCTTATGTAACATTGATAGAGCATCAATGTGAAAAATATGCCAATGACCATGCACAAAAAACATTTGCACTGATAAATGGCAGCTGAGGCAAGGAGGGAACTTAAACTAATGCCTGTTGTCTTTATATTTAATGCATGTACAGTTTAATGTAGTTTCTATGATAAAAATCTCAGAAACTCAGTGAACTTTCAACAAATCAAGCTAAACTACCATATACCCCCTGACTTGCCTGTTTATATGAATGGCCTTCGGTAATGGCCGTATATGTTTGCTTTCATGGCTTTTTATCAGCCCAGGGGCTTGTGGCCATTAAAGGTTGCATGGTCACAGTATCTGCTGTGATGCAAAAAAAAAAAAAATCCCCAACTAAGCGTACCTGTGCAAACATCAAGAAAGTGATCCATAAAACATTACTGTGCCGGAAGCTTGTAATGTACAGTCAGTTGGGGAACTCTGGTTCTTTAATCTTTCAGGTTAAGGATACAGTAGATCGATTGTTAAACACTTCTCTTAAAATGTTTGAACTTTCTCCCCAACACCCAGGATTACAGTAGCACTCTCATTTTCCTTGCTTTCTGTTTCCTGTTACTCTCTGTATAGTCCTTTTAGTTATATTCATGCTAATTATAAAAATCATCTTTTTGTTTCAGTAGTTTAATGTAATTTCTACATCCTCTCTTTCAGCTTTATATATGCTCTGGAGAAGTTGTTCACCCTTTAAGTGTTTGTGCTATAATGCAATTCTTTTAGACTTATGTATTACAAATATTTCAAGTTGAGCCTTGCCACAGCAATAATGAGCATATATGTATTTCCCTTTTTTAAACACATTTGCAAATGGAAGTGTTACTGCCCCCGATTTAATAAGAAACAAATTGAAAGAAGTGGAAATGCGCTGCAGCCATTGGACAATCATTTATCCTGTGTGGTTGTGTGCAAATCTGATTAAATTATGACTAACTTATGACTAAATATGATGAGCAAATAACCAGCCTGTTTTTTGATCGAATGCAGCCAATTCGACAGATTTCAGTCTCATATCTGAACTCCAGAGACAAACTTGACACAGAATGATTTTTGTGGTGCTTTATCTGCTGGAAGTAATGCATCATTCAAAATGTATTTCTTTGCATTTCAAGTTGTAAAATTACAAAACAGCTCACAGCTATATACTGCATTTAATGAATTGCAAGCTGGTATTAGCGGTTCTAGACAGGGGTCAACACGGGCCAATGCCCGTGTAGAAGAGGTCCTATAGCTCAATTTATAGAAGCTGCACTGAAAACCAACTTCAAAATTTAAAATATTAAGTAAGTTAATTTCCCTTTAATTAGAGTAGGTGGGTGACACAATGTGCAGATCAAATGAAATGATTTGCATTAAATAAAAATTAAAAATAAGAAAACCCAACTCTATTATCTAATTTCAAGTGCATTATATCTGACAACTATTTAGAAATTACTGTTAGCTTTGAGGTTAGTTCACAATGGTAATCTCCAATGCAATTTCTTTTCATGTCAAGCAACTCAGTGTGAATAGAGAGCCTTCTGGTTAAGCATAGTGTGAGCAGATCATGATCTGTGCAGATTTTTTTCAACTTTCTCTGCACCAGAAACTGAAACAATGCCCCGTATTTCACTGTGTCAGATTATATACATATAGTACAATAAAAACAAAAAAGGCGTGACTTTAAAGAAAAGCCCCACTTCATGACCAGTCTGCTCTTGAGAGAACAGATAGAAGATATAATATAATAAACATAATAAAACATAATAAAATAATATAATAAAAATAAAATGGGAATGTGGGACGGCTGGTTGAAGCAGTGAGAGGTGAGAGTGTTTCGTGAAGCTTGTCAAAGTTTATTATTATTTATCATATATAGGGGAGCGTTATAAGCTGTACTTTTTGTTTTTGTGGTTTGTTACCTTGTTGTTTTTGGATTTTTTTTAGGCCAAAATAGGATCACTATTTTACTTTCTGAGCTCCAATTATGTATAAGGTATTCTGTTTATTGAAATGATGAACTGATTTCATATGTCTGAGTCTGCCCCGATTCTGTGATTATCTGTGGGTCTATCTCTGGCAGAGCTATGCAAACCATTTTGCAGAAAATGATATTCTCACACTGACAATCTTTTATGCTATGATTTTCTGTTGGATAAAATTATTTTCGGTGTGTCCAGGGCGTCATCCATATTAAGATAGGATCTCATTTTTCATCTTTCAGATCAGGGGTCTACAACCTTGACTTTGTGGCTAACTTAAACTAAACATGCAGGGCCTTACACAGGACCCAAAAAACACTGAGGTGAAGAGTCACTTCTAGGTGGGTTCATTGGCGTGCACCCTAGAAAATGTTTTTGATTTGGTTCATTAAATCTGGCCATTTACAGAGTCTTGAGCAAAAGCAACACCATTATGACTTTTGAATAGGCTAGGCAATGCATTTAACTGTTCCTCTTTCCCTGCCAGACACTGTCAGGCATTATACACGTGTAAGCTTGATTTTTATGTAATCTTTCTTTTGAAGCTTCTATGTAAGTTCTTAGAAATGTATCACAAAAGAATTTCCCGTATAATTGAAATAGGTTGCTTCATATTTACTTCAGTTTCTAAAATAGACACCCAAGCCCTATTACATTATTATGTAGATGATAGTGCCTAATCTGTTCCCGCTTGTTAAGGAAAGTTAGCTTTTGAACATATTTCTATTATAATCTTACGAAATACTTCAAGTTACATGCAATAAACATTTGACTTTTAAAACATACAGTTCTGGAGCAGTATCTTCCTTATTTATTATCTGCTCTCCCTCCATCTCTCCCTTCACTTCTTCTATTGCTGCTTACCCCAAAGAGGAGATTGTTTTGACTCAGCCTTTTTCTACATACACTGTTTTCCCTTTAGTAGAATATCAATGCAGTCAATTACTAAAGTGATAGAAATGGAAAAAAAATATGCAATTTCAACATCATATGTCAAGGGGCTTTATTATTTATTTAAAGACATGTTAATATGAAATGAAATTAGTTTTACACGTTCCAGTGCAGCCATTGTCAAAGTATGAAATTGGACAAATTGCTACAAATAAGTTCAAGTATAACAAGATAAAATATGCACATTTAAGCAATTATATAAAATAAATTAATATGGTATATAACATTGCACAGTTGTAATTAAGAATGGGGAATTCTGAAGCTTTTTGATGGAACATTATGGTGACTCTTGAAGTAAGGGCAAGTTACCACTTCTATTGACCGCCATGACTGATAGACTCATTAACGTCATCCATAGCCTGTGTGTGGCAGTTACTAAAGCGACAGTGTGTGTTTATGGTGTGTAGCACATATGCCCAAACCCTCAAGCTTCTCAATATTAAACACCTTGCAATTTTGTAGAAGACCTAATTCATCATCCTACATTCAGTTTCAGTGAAATTTATTTTTAAAGTATATATATATATTAGTGTTGCACTGATACCGATACCAGTATCGGACAGGGGCCCTGATCCAGCACTAAAATGGTGGTATCGGTATCAGCGAGTACCAGCAAATAGGCCACTGATACCATTTTTAGGGCCCAAAGTTTATTCAACTATTGTCATCCATTCCAGGTAGGCAATCAAAATTTCTACTGGATTCACTTTGTATTAGCCTTTTTCCTGCTTCACAAAGGTATTCAGCAGCTTGACACAAAGCCATGGTGGCAATTATTTTACATCCAAATAGTATGCAGTTCTTCATATATACACACACACATCATTTTAAAACAGATGGTATTATTATGGTATCGGTATTGACCGGTACTGCCCAACAAAGTATCAGGTATTGGGGCCAATATATATATATATATATATATATATATATATATATATATATATTGCAAAATAAAAAAATAATGAAAAAAAATAGAGAGAAAATTACCAAGGTGTCCTCAATGGTAGTTACCGCTTGTTTGTTCTGTGCCCCCATAAAAAAATACTGGCCCCACCCTGCCCCCCTGGTAAATTGCTCTAGATCCGCCACTGCAAACTGACTGAAGTATTATGACAATTGCTCATCAGCAACTTTAATCAAAGCTGGGTTTAATTCACCCCTAACATTAAAAAAACAACAACAACAAAAACAATAGAAAGGAATGTCTATATCCTTGCTGAAGTCACGTTGCTGTCTTTAGACTTGATAATTAGGTCTAAAATTGGAGATGTAATGAATGGTATGTTTCAGGATTTTTAAAAATGTGAAAACACTAATCTTATATAAATCAAATTTAAACTGGACTTCTTCTTTTTCCAATTCAATTTGTGTGCATCCACAAAAAAAGAGTCATACATGACCCTGTTATGAAGAGCTTAAGTTTTAACCGTTGCCAGCAGCAGGAGCCTCGTGCAGCGTTCCTCTTTCTCGATCCACAACACCGACACGTGCGGTCCACGGAGGTGAGGCGGTATCCCAGCGTGTACGGGCCAACCAGAAGCAGAGGATACAGCTGATTGGTTACGGTTTCATCCAATCAGAACGCTCTGGCTCCTCGTCCAACCAAACTCTTCCAAGCACGTGCGGCGGCTGTGCGCTTGTCTGGTGTAGGGACTGTTTGTTCGGAGCGGAGCTATCAACAGAGGGAGGAGCCGCAACACTGAAGCACGGAACACAACAGAACGGGACTCAGTTTGTCTCCAGATTGGAAGGAAACGGTTTATTTTCTCAAACATCAACCTCAACTACCCAGTTTCTGGACTCTTCACACAAAAAGGTAAAGACTGAGCACTGTCATTTATATATATCTACATATATGTTCATGTATCTTTTTTGCACCAGTTTTGTTTGTATAAATATAATTATAGTAAGAAAACATCGCTTAAAGAAGTGATTGGTTTATAAATAATGGGTTCAATCTAAAAAATAAAATGCACACCTGTGTTCTCTGTTAATTAAATTGTGTTGGATATATGAGAAAACTCATAGAGAAATGAGAGCTTAGGTTTTGTATGAACAGAGGTGTGTTGTATAAGGGTGTGCGTGTGCATCCGATGGTTTAATTTAGGTGAACTTTCTAGAAAACCCTTTGTAACTCTTGCGTAATTTGCTTCTTACTTCTAATAATTCTCATTTTGGATTAGAAAAAAATTATTTAGCATAGAGTTGATCAGTGGCAGTTATCTTATTTATCTATTGTCTTAGATCTTCCTTATTAAAACTGGATTTAAAACAGTTTTGCCATTTTGAGTCTGTTCAGTTACCAAAATAAATGATAGAAATAACAATAATAAATACTATTTATGCTATTAATGTTGCAGTGATCAAAGAAAATATTTAAGTAGCTGTTTTTGAATTTATTTTCCCCCCATTGGTAAGACTTAATGATCATATTTAGGGTGTCATTAGGGCTGCAACTAATTATTGTTTTACAGATCGATTAGTCTGTTAGATTAGTCGATTAATAAGCCAAAGATAGCCAAAGATTTTTTAAAGAAAACTTTTTACTAAATTGATCCAGGTGAAACTCAAACTTTTCCACTTGCTTTATTTATTTTTATTTTTTTACAAACTTGGTCTAATTAAAATGAATCGATTACTAAATTAGTTGACAATTCTTTCAATAATCGATTTATTATGATAAACCCAATTAATTTTTTCAGCCCTAGTTGTCATGATACAAAAATGTTAAACTCTACTTCCATACCCAGTAAAATATATCCTGTACCATGTGATTAAAAAAATGCAAAATATTTAAAGCAATACAAGCTACATTTCTCAAGATTAAAAAGTTCCCAATCTTTTTCTCAACATGAAATGTGCCTTCTCTGTTAGTTAAATAAGAAAACAAATAACTGTAAAATAAAATAAAAACACAAATATAATACAATTTGATAATATTTTAAAGTTGTTTGAGGTTTTATTCTTTTAATGTGCAAATAATCTATACATTTCCAAATTAAAATGTGCAAACAATACAAATATTTGGTATCAGTACCATGCCAATGCAGCGTTGCCAACCCTACATCAGCTATTCAATTATTTTATAATACAAGAAGTCAGTTATAAATAATTTATGACAGTCCTTCTGACATCGTGCTGCATTATGGTGTTTCATTCCAGTTCTTATTTGTGGTGGATTGTTCCATAGTTTCAATGTGGAACATGTCCAAATTAGTTTTGGACATCACCTAAAATGAAGGTCTTCTTCATAGTGGTCAAACTCTCATCCTCAAGGGCTGCTGTCCTGCAACATTTAAATGGGACTCTGCTTCAACACATTTGAATCACATCCATCGGTCGAAGAATCTGGTCCACATGTGATTCATATGTGTGGGTTGAGGACATATTTGGAGGTAACCCCTCAATAGCTGAATTTTAACTGCACCTATATTATTGAAAATTTGTCTCTTTCTGATGAGCAAGGTTCTCCGTTATGCCTTTTAAAGTATGTTTTCTGTACATGCAGTTTTCTGGGTTTAATTACAGGAACGCTTTTGCAAGATTTTACCAATATTTCTGCAGACATTTCTCTCTATAATGTTTTGGTAATAATTTGCAGCTATTATAAACTAAGGGTCCATCAGAGTTCATCAATCTGATAAGGACTCTTACACCAAAGCAGAAGTGCCTCAGCGGTCGCCATGATCAGTGCTGTCTGAATAGTGTTGGCAGTAAGGGAAGCAGGATGCTATCTAATGTCAATCATTCAGAGTAAGGAACCTCCTGACTTTCCTGTCTGGCACTTAGGAGCTATTCAGATTCAGGCTAATTTACGGTTTTCCTTCAGGTCTTACCTGCCAATTTGGATTTTAAGTTATCCCAGTTTCTTTTTTCGCTCATCTTAGGACTTTAGCACATATAGACACTTATTTACAAACATATTCCTTCTGAAAGGGGATAAAATAAAATGCATAAGTATGACATGCTTATCACTGATCTGAGGTGATTAATGTGGAAAGTTGACTAGATTCAGCTTCTAATCATTTTATTAGCTTGCAGCCTGGAAAGTCTTACCTCATGATTCCAACTTTAGTCCATTGTAGTTTCTTTTACCATGATACGTACAATTGATTCGACTAAACTTGGTCACTCGCGCTTTTACTCTGACAAAAAAAATAAAAAAATAGATAAAAACAATGTTGTGCATCTTCCCTAATGGAGGTCAAACATTTTGATTTAAACAAATAAAAAAGACAAAAACCTCTTTTAACTTACCTAAGTGTATGTAAGTTTAGTCTTAACAGAATAAATAAACGTTAAGAATTCTGTTTTCTTGTCTTCAATTAAAAACAATGCTTTTTTCATTCATTTGATGTATTAGTATTTAATTTTTTTGGAAAGAGGGAGAGTAGTTTGTCAGCCCTGTATAGGATTAAATAAATTCCTGCTGCTAAAATAGAAACTTGCATGCAGTTTGGTCTAAATACAAATAATTTAAACAATTCATACTCGAATGGGTATTTTTTGATGTTCCAATAAAAAAAAAAAAAAATGATGCTTTTCTGGAGTACAAAGGAATGCCACATGATTATTTTTTTTAGCGTACTGCTTCTCAGTATAAGTATTTGATAATATTTTTTATAGTAGTTTTAAATGGCAGGGCAATTCAGAGTGCTTATCATCATACAATAAAACAAATGTGCAACATGTTTATCAGAAATGTTGCAGTTAAAAACTCTTTGTAGCCAAACTAAAAGTGTCTTAACACTGATGGTACTTTATGAGTTCGCTCCCAGTTGGAACCGAACCACTGTGTGATGTCACCAGAGGGTTATAAACTGTCAAAGTTTGTCCTGACTCTGTTCTTTTCATCATTACGTTATATTTGCTCAAACATGGTCAGACATTACTCACAGTTCTGTACAACCTGCAGTGATATTGGTTTCATAATAAGTAAGCATTTGTATGTTGCATAATATGCAGATGAAATCCTTCTGTTTAAGCACTTTAGTGAAGAATAAAGAGTGACTGATCTTTTGAAATATCTTGAAATATATAAAACAAAAATACCTATTGCATTCATTATTTAATCTCCCCCCATTTTGACATTAATTACAAATATGAAGAGGTTAATTAGGAAGCAATGCCCATTTTTTCTCCTACTTTTACATAAGAGTCCTTTTGATGCTTCAGATATACTGAGTTCTAAGGTGGGAAATAAAGGAAAAAGCAGTGGTCTGTAAACTGCTTTAAAGCTTTTTAAAGGGACAAAAAAAAAACAAAAAATGAAAACAAGTAATAAAAAAAAAACGAAGAATAAAATATAGAATTCTTTTTAACAGTAAACATCAAACTTAATTTTCTTGTGTAGCTACTTATAGCTGGTAAAAAAATAATTAATTTTATCTCAAGTTATTACGGTAATAAAAACATGCTTCATGTTAACTTAGTTGTGGTTTCTTAATAATTTAAGCTCCTTGTGTCCTCCTTTTTTTTTAAGGTTTCTTGTACAGATGAAACATAATCTCTCTGTAAAATATTACAAACCTATAAACTCTGAATGCTCTGTGCTTTAATGATTAGCTAACAGTTATTGCATGCTGTAATATTTCTATAAAGATACATTTGCAATACATGGGACATCCCTTTACTTCAGTTCTATATATAGATTTTTTTCCCTCCTTTTTATAAAATAAAATTCCCCTAAAATATGGTGTTAGTTTTTGAGAAGTGACGATTTTGCAGGATAATGAAGGATCGGTTGTTTGGCTGTTGGGTTAGCATTGGGCAGGCATGCATGCAGCACCATCACCACTTTACTGCAGATATGTTTTTGCATGAATTTTGAAATAAAGGTATTGTTTTCTATTAGAACCATATTACGGAAAGCAATAAAATACGTGTTTAAAAAGCTGATTCTAGCTGTTTTTTGCTGTTTTAATGCAGATCATTTCTGTAACTGTAATGATAAACCTAACATGTACTCTCTAACTCTGTCTCCACAGATGAACACATTGAGCAAATCTTCCAAATGGCCATCTTATGATTCCCTTCCCTCCACCTCAAGCTTTCCCCCCAGCGAGAACGAGCAGACCGAGGACGAGGCAGATGTCTTCTCTGAGGGAGAGGGGGACAGCGATTTAAAAAGCCCTCTACATGCAAAGATTCATGACCATCAATCTGAGCTCTACTCTGATGAAGCCAAACATTTGTCTCTTGAAGCAGCTGCACTCAGACCATCATCAGCGACGCCAGGAGATTTGACCTTTGCTAAAAAAGTAAGCATCTCCTCACTGAAACTAGTTCTACCTTCCCAGTGTTTTTTATTTTCATAACACTTGCCTTTACTTTTTTATTAGTGCGCTGATTTGCACAGATATACCCACCCTTTGCTTGAGCTTCTAAAGGGATTAAAAACTGGACGCTTTGAGAAAGGTATGTGGATTAATAAGAAGCTAATATTATTGACTAAAAATAATAAAAACCCAGTTTGTCTGACATTCTGATATATTTTTATAGGCTTAACCAGCTTCCAGCAGAGTGTTGCCATAGACAGATTACAGCGAATTCTTGGAGTCCTACAGAAGCCTGAAATGGGGTAAGAAAAAAATAAAAATAATCTCTTTACAATTGTTGTTGTAGTTGATCATGTTCTCTTTTATTGTACATGTGAAACATTCTGGTTAGTTACACCTATTTAAACATTTAATAAGCCATAAACATGTTATTAATGTCGTTGATTTCTTTGCTGCAGTGAGAAATACCTCCAGAATCTGCTGCAGATAGAAATGCTGCTCAAAATGTGGCTCCCTCAGGAGTCATTCAAGCCTGTGGACAAACCCAAGCAGACCAGCACTCCCACACTCACCTCACACTGGAGGAAAAACCAACTCCACATTCCTGTCAAGGTGACATTTTTGATTCAGCTGCAAAATGAACCACATGTTGCACGAAGCAGATATGAAATGATACTGATTCTGATTTTTTATTTTTTATTTTTTTTTGAGACAGTAAAATCAGAAAAGGGTAGCATGTTTTGTGTTTGCTCTCCTTTTCTCTAATAAAAAAAACCCCCTTTTCAACCCAAGTGGGAAAATAGTCCTTCTAAGTATGAATGAAGCTGACTTTAAATTCAGTTGTTCTTTTTTAAGCTTGACTGTTGTAATAGCATCATGAACACACTAAGACCAAATAAATCAATTCTAACGGTTTGGAGAATAAGGTCATAATTGATGTTCTACTCAAAGGAACTAAATTCAGTTTGTTTTTTTAAGCCAAAATTCAAAACTCTGACATGTGACACGCTTGTCTGATCATACGATTCCCACAATGAAACACGGTGGTGGCATTATCATGTTGGAGGGCTGAAAGGTTTTGCCAAAAATCTAAATTCCATTTTCATTTTAATCTTTGCGCTAACAATTAAATCTTTTTATAACATTGATAGTTTGCTTTTCCAGAGTCCATAGTTGCAGGATTTTACTGGTACTGTTGTGTGGGAAAAGCACCGTCGCTACCCGATCTGTTACGGAAGCATGATCCGTACCATCGGCTCATTTCCGCATGTGCAAGCAGATATTCATCCACGCCGCCATAAATAATGTAATCATGGTTATAAAAATTATAGACTAGTGATAAAACAAAGGCATATACTTTCTCAGGAAATACTCATTATTACCCTTTAACATGTTATAGTTTAATACGGTTTAGGTATNAGCGGATGGTACGGATCGTATTTCCGATACAGATCAGGTAGTGACAAGCATTTACTTCTACCTCTACATAGATCTGTGTGCTAGCGGCTGTTTCATCTTTTCTTCGGTGTGGCGCCAAACCTATTTTAAGCGTATTACCGCCACCTAAAGGTTTGGAGTGAGAAAGTCAGTTCTTTCTCTGGGTTAATGTAAAGTAACTTAGTACCTCTGCGATTTGTAAATTGTCCTTTTGTTAAATTATGATTATACTGCAAATGCAACTAACTGGCCAGCCTACTTGATGGTCTGGGAACAGTATGTGGATGGAACTAACGCCTGGGCGATTCTGGAAGAAAAAATTAAAGATTTTACACTGCAGCAGGGATTTACTTCCCATCTCGAAAAATGCCATCATTACATCTGGGTCTCAGCTACATTCTGTGAGCAACTCAGAATAAATACAAAACTATGTCCATTCTTTTCAGATTTTTATTTGAAAAAAATTTACTTTAATTTCTTAATAATGCAAAACTTAGTCTAATACAGAGAACTATACCTTATATTCACGTTTGTGGTTGTGACAAAATGCCCCCGAAATTCAAAGGCTATCAATAAATTTATAAGACAGAGATTTTGTGCATTAATGACATTATATAAAGTAAACCAGTGTTCTTTAAAGAGAAGAGAGTTTATGTTCAGCCATGTTTAGTCTTGGAAAGTGGTTTATCTGTAGTCCAGTGTTTCATAATTCAAGTATGTTTTTTAATTTCCTATAAGACCTTTGTCACAGTCGTTATATTTGGTTCTATCTTTCCTCTGCAGAAAAGGAAGCTGAGCTGGTCAGACCCAGATGTCACAGCGTCAGTCCCAGCTAAGCAGAGCTGTCGTCAGCATGAAGAACACGAGAGCTGCCTTACTTCTACATGTCTTCCTCTATCGCCTGAAAATCTGACCACGCTAGAGGACAAAACAGCAGAAATGGACAACTGCTCAGAAGGGCAAAGATTTCCAAAAAGGACTAACCCCATAAGCGGGTCTCATTCATGTATCAGGGAGGAACATGAGAACCAGAAACCGACTGAGGATTTTCTCCCCTCTCCTTGCGGCAGCCCTGCTACGCAGGTCTATTCAGTGTCTTCAAGCAACAGTGTTACTGCAATCGACTCACCGTAACTGACCTTGCTATCACATGGAGGGAGCTCAGCTCATCCGTTAGAGTAGACCCGATTACATAACCATAAAGTTTGGCAGGAGGCCATCCTGTGATGCCTGCGAGGCACATTAAACCAGATTAGATGGGAAAGACGCTTATTGACCACCAACCCTCTGGGTTTCTTTTTCTTAAGAGGCCGTTTCATTTTACAAGCCATTGTTTGGAGGAAGGTTATGTTTTTGTATGAAACTAGGTTGAAGAAGTTTGGAAATATTTTATATATTTTTTTGTGTTGAAGCAATTGTCGCTGTTTTTTTTTTGTATTTTCTTTTTTACATAATGGATGGAAGCCTGAAAAGTTGCAGCACATCATTTTAAATAATAAAAAGAAAATAATTATTATTTTTTGTATTCTTATTAGCTCTTGTTAGTAAGAAGGTGATCTCTTGTGCAAAGCTCAGTTAAAAAGAGCTCAGACATATTTGATATTGTGCACTAAAACAGTTTTTTTTTTTTTTTACTGTTTTAAGCTTTTTACAAATTGTAAGGCAGTCTGAAAAGATGGGGTGCAGGAAATCTTCACTGTTGCTAAGCTAGTACTGGTATTAGTTAGAAACACATGATGATATTGGTGACACACAGTTAATGTTTTTAAATCTAATCTACACTGCAGTAATTTCATGAGCCTTAATGTTGATTACTGACCATTTGTGAAGTAAACATTTCATTTAGACTGTGATTTTTAAGATATTTTTAGTCAATAAAAAAAACATTGACAAGAAGAAAGGCACTTTTTGAGCATATCACCTTCTAAAGCCAGTTTGCTTTGTTTTTCTTTGTGACTTGGAGGCACTCAGAAATTAACTTGATCTTCCATTGCCTGTTATCTCCTTCCGACTTCCATTTAATGTATCTCTGGTAGATCTGGTCTTTTTTGCAGACATTTTCCCCTCTCTACTTTCTTAATTTTTTTTTATTTTCTAAATAAATTAAGCCCAAAATGATGTAAAGATGTAAGGCTTCTACCAAGATCTGCCAAAGACACATCCGAAATGTCTTAAAATGATGACACAAATATAAATTAGACATGCTTAACCTTTAATGGTAAAAGGTGAAATAATAAAATAAAGGTGAGCAAAATAAAAATTCTGCCTATTGCACTCATATGTAGTGAGTGTGCCAATGTCTTGATTTTGTTGGAATAATTTTTCATTAGAGATTTGTATCTTTCTGTAAAAGTTAAATATATCTAAGCCTGTCTGCACCTGAATTTATTTATCTGCACTTTGGATGAAAATGAGGAAATGTTACACATCTGTGAACCACAAAAACATTATGTTATTTATAAAAAATTTACTTGATATTTTCATTTCCATCGCCTGATTCATGTTGCACCTTAGATCGGAGCTTCAGAGGTACTTGAATGAGAGATATGTGGAAATGTACAGGAAAACATTTGAGGAATAAATGTGTTATATGTTTTAAAACAACATGAGTTGGTAGAAACCACCTGCTGTGCCTCCATTTAAACAGATTTATCCCTCTGATATGCTTTTATAGGTTTGGCAACACTGTTCAAGTGCAATCAGAGAGATTACAATGAAAGAAGTGAACCATTTCCATTCGTGAACTCATTGTTTTTTATCTTTTGATATCAGTTTAATCTTTTACCACTATACTTTCCTCAGGTTTCATTCATGTTGAATGACGTCTCATCTCTGATGGTTTGTCATCAGTCAGCCTTACATATAAACCACAAAACTAGCAATGTATTTGTCTTTTAAATTATACAACAAAGAAAAGTCAAATGAATCATTTGAAAAATGAATAAAAAATATTTCAAAACGATTGTGCTTTTTGTGGAGGTTTTTCTTAGACTTTGCTTCTAAAGATGAAATAGTAAAAAATAGTTCTTTGTTTCTTATAAATTATACTTCTATTTATAGTGACTGCTTGATGAAAGCATTTTTGTACATATTAAAGACTAAAAAAGAAATTTAAATCAGTTTTTTCATTTTTTTTTATCACATCCAGTGTATGAGAAGCTATTGGCAGGTAGTCTTTTAAAAGTATTTTATCTTATTTTTTAACGTTAAAGCTACAATTATTTCCCCCCTAGTTTTATGTTGATTATTTAATGCTGTGGTACACTACTGCAAACAAACTTATTTTTTAAGTTATCAGGAATGTGGAACAATGTTTTATTCTTTTTATGCTTTTTACAAAAGGTGTACATTCATTTTTCACTCTCTTCACTTACCTTGTTTCAATTATAACTGATATTATTCAGTAATTCACACTTTTTCAAATCAATACATGGGCCAACAGGGACCAATGCTGCTATGGAACAGATCCTGGCCCCTGTTATGGCCCCTATACTGGAAACAAACCCTGCAAAAAATATAAATTTATTGGATTTTACCTTGATTTTGGCAGTTTGTTAAGGCAATGATAATACAAAAACTAAACCCATTATATTATTTTAAGTGCAACATACCGAATTCTCTTATTGTAATCGAATAAAAATGCATTCATTCGGTAGATAATCTCATTTGATATCTCAAGTTATGGAAAAACACTGTTATTTTAAGAGACTTTTACTTATTAAGATCAGCTTTGCATTATACTACTTAAACTTCTGATGATATAAGGTCACAGAATAGACCGTAACTGCCTCTTCCCTCAGACCAATTTGATATTTAACCTTCAAAATTTATATTGACAGGTATTGAGAAATTACTGCCAGCTTAAGATTTAGCTGTGTTGAGCCAGGATCACAGTTTTTATCTGTTAGATCAGGAGTCTGAAACCTTTCTTTGACCCTATCATAAACAGCATTTAAAATTGCCACTGTAAATACACCTGCCAGTTTTCATGAGAAATGGAAGGTAATCATTGGCTTCAATGTCTGTTTTTAAAATGCATATATTTATAGATAAATAAATAAAAAATACTGTTTTAAAATTATATATTCACTATTAAAAATAATAAAAAAATTAAGACATGAATTAAAATATTTGCACAATTCTGTTTTGTAAAGAAAAAAAAGTCCTACCCAGCAGGTGGCGCCGTGTGCTACGTTTAATATTGCATTCCCTTCCACTAGGGGGCACCATACCCACAGCGTTTTCCGGAAACATACATCTGTGCATCAGGATGTCACAAGGCGCTAAGTTTTAACCAAAAGTGTTAAATGAAATGACAAATTATCTCCGGGAAAGAACCTCATTCTGAATAACCTTTAAACACGAGAAGAGGATTAAAAACAACTAAGCCGAGTTTTAGCTCTTTGTAAAATCACAGCGGGAAACTGCCGAGTGGCTTTTGAACGCAATGGTGTTTGTGTAAGGTTTAGCTAGCATGCTAAGCTAAGTGCTAGCCCAAGCTAAGTTGATGTCGGAGCGATAGAAACTGAATCCCGGGGACATGGCAGCGGGAACAGGCGGATCATTCGAAGCCAGTTTGGAGAAGAGGTTCAGAGGTCTGACCAACACCATGGATTCCATCCAGGGACTGTCCGCCTGGTGCATAGACAACAAGAAGTACCACAGCCTCATTGTGCGCCAGTGGATGAAGTGTTTGAGGAAATGTGAGTAGCTTTATACCTGCTAACAACACAGCTGCAACGGTCGGAACTGGGTTAGCAAATGTTAATATGGAAGTTTAAAAGGTATTTAATTAGGGTTTTCAACAAATACTTATTTAGGCAATCGAGGCCGCTTTTAAAGGAATATGTACTAGCTTCAGTCAGTTCTAGTTTAAAGTACAATTGTCCAAATTGATCTAAAAAACACATTTCAATCCAGTTTTTTTTTTAACTCATTAAAATAGAAAACAATTGTATGGAAAATCATTTAAAGTTTTAGGATTTATTTATTACCACATTTTTTATATGTTGATTGTCTTTCTCGTCTATTTATCCATCCATTCACCTGTCTGCTTCTCACTTCATCTGAACAGTATTCAGTTTGGATGATGATCTCTTCTGTCTGCCAATTTATTCCTTTTCTGACCAGACTTACCCTTTCACCTAATCTTCAAAGCTAGTACGATATATAGAGGTGTAAATGATAATCGTTTTATACCGATACATCGATCCAACAGCCGATGATCCGATGCATCAATACCAAAGGCGTAAATATCGGCAAGCAGAGACTGCAGTTGCTTAGGGGACCCCGACCTCTTAGGGGCCCCATCACTAACACCTGGTAGTCCCCCTATGCATTTGGGGACTAGGACGTCTCTTTGCAGATGTAATGGTGTGAAAACATCTTCTTAAACCCACCTGACATTAAGTTAACTGACCGGACCTTATTTATGCCGCAATACACAGCAGATTTCAACAGGATGGTGAGACGTTTAAACACGACACCAATAGAAAAACAGACAGTGGTGCTTTAAATTACTATGTTAATAACTGTGTATAGTTCATTAGACGGTTGGTAAAAAATAAACTCATATAATATGTTTCAAACCGCAATAAAGATCTTAAAAGAACGATGTATTTGAGTATTTTATTTTTTACAATTGAACTTGGAATTATGGGTAATCCAGAGCGTAGATTAAAACCATAACCGAAACGTACAATGTGTTAGCGACGTTGGATACCAAAAGCTGGTAGGCAAGTGGATTCCAGAAAAGAAAAAGTAAAAAAGAGCTGCATCAAGAACGGAAAAAACTCCCCAAAATAAACAAGTTATTTCAAAGAAGTGAAGAGGGAATGGTGGAAGTTGCTGCTACAGTGAGTAAAGATTGCGACCAGGAGATGAATGGAGAGAGCGTGGGTGAGGAGGGTAGCCCGATAAGACTTATTTTACAGCAGAATTTACTAAAGTATGTCTAGTGAAGGTGAAGAATGATGAAATCTGTATTTATAGGGCACGTTTCGTGTTGGTTGTTTACAACGACGGGGTGGGGTGTTGTACTTCGTATGGGGCCCACTCAGATAATGTTGCCTACGGGCCTATTGTTGTAGTAACGTTTCATGTTTCTTTTTCTTCTAAATGCATATTTTACAGTCTCTATATGCCAGTTAATGATTAACTGATAAATAAATTAGCTATTCATTCATTTGTAGCTATGTCTATATATTACTTTTGCTTTCTCAAGCCTGTTATACAGTTTTAATAGAGGTATCCAGGAGTTGATCTAGGATAGGAGATTGCACACAATATGATTGTTTGTGTACATGGTTTGCTTCTATATCCTGAGTAAAGTTGTCGTATAAATGAGCTAATTACTGAAAACTTTGGGTTGGAAATCACTCCAGATGATTATATGCTAACCAGTTAAGGTTTGCATTTAGCTTGATTCCTTTTTTTCTTCAGAATTTCTGTGGTTTTGGAGAACCGCCTTGTTCAGTTAAAGTAACTGTCTTATTGAATTGTTTTGTTGGTGTTTGATGAAGTTATGTCTCGGTAGACCCCTATTGATATTTAGGTGAGGTCATGTGATAGACTGAGTATTAATTTACCTGTTTTCCTTGAGGGGTGTCTTTTTTTATTGCCAACAGGTTGGGCTTTATTAGTCACTGAAGAGGCACTAAACATAAAACAGTAACTAAAAGATCACAGATGGCAGTTTTTAAAACCTCTTTCAAACTAACCTTGAAATTAGACTATTAGATTTTTTTAACAGTTTTCCTGATGTATGATTCTCAATTAATATTAATATCTTATTTATATTGGCTACCTATCCATGATTGCTTTGGTAAAATGCATGTTTCTTTTCGTCATGAAATTGAATACTTTTAAACCAACACTAAGTAACTTTTCAACCTTCATAAAATATTTTCACAGCTCTTGTGATTATGCGTCGACTTACAACTAGTTGAATGACACCTCTGTCACGGCCCGAGAGGCCTGTATCAGACTGCAAACTGCTTTGCGGCACACGTCACTTCCCCAAGTCGCTATAAAGACAAAGCCGATGGTACTACATATACCTGACAGACGCTACATTCATGAAAATTCAGTACAGGGTTGACATTCAGCTACCAAGAGACCAGCATTTTGCCATGCTATGCGCTGGTCCTCATGGAAAATGTGATATTCCTTCAGGCCAAACAATACAGCTTTTGTCCCCTGGACGGAGCCAAAATCGACCAACGCTGAAACTTCATTAGATTTGCGTTAATAGATGACTTTCTTTTAAAAATTTGTCTGTTATTGGTTGATTTCTCTTGATCTGCTCTGATGGCTCACTGAAGAACTGAAATCTATTTTTTCTTATTCTCCTTCAAAAGCATTCAAACTATTTTTTTTCATCAGAATACTAATCAACATGTGCTTGCAAAATAAAAATCAAAGTTGACGACTTGTGCTCTGATATTTAACTAACAACGACTTTGTGTTTCCAACACTTTCTGTTGGATTTCCATTTACTTCTCTATATAGATGTCCAGACCACGGTTTTTAGCTACTCTTATTTATTTTGAAAAGCTGCTCATAAAAATTGTGGTCAATTTAGATTTTTCTTTTTGAATCAGATTTAATAATATCCCAAATATTTCTGTTTCCATCCTGCCCTAATTAGTCATTCTTACATTCATTTTCAGTGTAACCCTGTGTATTTAACCGGTAGTAGTAGATGGAAAACTTTTGTTTTCTGCAGTTGCACAATTTTAAAGGGCTGCTCTGATCTAGTCATTGGTAACCTATTGCATTTAAACTCTAATGTATTCATGCTCCTCGTGTAAATGTACTTATCTCCTCTGATGGACTTTTACCTCTCTTTGTGCAATTTACTAAAATATTTGTTAAAGCTTTCATGTAGATCAGTGGTTTCCAACCCTTTTCCCCAGAAACCCCTCCTCCTGTGTCCTTGTTGCATGACACTGGACACTGTGCTGGAACAGAGACGCATCTAAAACATGCAGGGCAGGGGTCCCTGAGGAACGGAGACAGGAACCATTGATCTAGATGATTGCAGCAAGATTGGAGAAACATTGTTTGACTGTAACGTTTTCATGGGAGGCTGGTCACTAACTGGTTTCAGTGAGACCTGCTGAATATGAAAGTGGAAGTAAATACAACAAAATCGCTTATCAGTGAAAAACGGGTGGAATGAATCACAAGCTACCTGTTCATGGATATAAAAATATATCTGAGTGAACTTAAGCTTAGAGATATTATTGTATTTTCACCGGATTTAAAAAAAAAAAGCAACTAACTCTTATATTATCTGATTAGTTTAGGATGAGCAGTCAAGGTGGGCGATACGGTCAAATCTTGTATCAGAGTATATTTCTGAACTTAAGTGGATGCAAATTGATTCTGATATCGATATAAAAAATATGAAAGGCTCAGAAAGACTACCAGAAATGCCCCAGTTAGATTCCTTTACAAACTTAGGAAAATGATCTTGGTATGCCCTGGAAACTCCTCCAATATAACATTTAATAATAATAATAAAACAAATAACATATCTATTTTTATTTGGAGCTACAAGCTCAAGAGACAAAATTCCCATTTCACCAGACGATTATATCTTCCTTATATTCCTCATTCAGTCGCTTCTTACCGCTTTCAGTTTCTCTTTCCCTGGCTCCTTTATTTTATAATTAACTGTCATATGTTTAAGAAGAAAAACACACCTAAGTCTGCAAGACCATCTAAAATCACTATAGAAATTCAAAATGAGATGAGAAATGTACCTTCAGTTTGACTAGTTTATATGAAGAGGGACCTTTTCAGCTTGAAAAGATAGAAACTCGTATGCTGCATCCAAACTTCCCTTACGGTTAAAAATTATATAACGTCTAACCACGTCATGCAAAGTAGTTTTTTAACAGTGTACTGCAAACTTACTTTTTTTTAAAAATCATTCCATAAGTGGTGATCTTCCTGAACTGGATGATAACTGTAGTATTTTAAGCAAAGACCATACAACAGGTTGTTTTAATTGGTTTAGAAATTTGTACAGGAATTTAGTTCCCAGAATAATTTTCAATATTTCAGATGCAAAGTTTAAAGTATTCTTTACCAACAGGTTTCTCTGATTGGAAGTGATATTAAGATTAGGCTGATGACAATAAGGCAAAGTTTTGTTGATGATAAATCAATAAATAACCTTTTAAAGATGTCTAAATTGTTATAAAACAAATATGATAATGTATATTGAATATTTGGTGCTGTTACATTGTTTAAAAAATGTCACTTTGTGTAGAACTTTAAAATTCTGGTTATTTCATTTTAAAATCATGCTTTTTATAAGGAGGTTCGTCCATCCTTATAATCCTTTACTCCCACTGATTGATCACATTCTCTTTAATTAATGGTAGGAGTGAAATACTTCAAAAAATGCTGCAACATTAATTGTGCACAGGAGATTTTTGCTTTATTATTTATAAATCTCTTCATTTTTCTGAAATTTTCACTGTAAGTCTGTGATGTAAATATCCCCTTTTTGTCATGGTTCGTTTGTGTGCCGCCATCTGTGAATCTGAGGTCCGGGTCGGACCAGCTGGTGTTTAGCTCGCTCTTTTTTTCCAGTTCTGAGATGCTGTAGCGTGTAGCCAATGACTAACAGCTAGGAAAGCACTTATGTTGATGCTTAACAGTAGCAGCTCGGCCATGAGAGCTGTCACTATCTGTACCGGCAATGTTACGATGCAGCTGTCAGTTCACCTTGAACATGCTCAAGTAGTTACACACGCAGAGAACAAATAAACCTTTCTTTGTAAGGAAGGAAAAAGCAATTCTAACCTTTTCCCACTGCTTGTTGCTAAGTTACAACACTCTACATCTTTTGGTTCAGGTTTCATAAACAGTTTTCATCGGGGATTTTCTGGGCTTAATCAGAAAACTTGCTATTAAAGGATCACAGTTATTAGTTTCAGGAAGAATTAGCTCTGTATGAAAGTACAAAGAGGCTTATATTGTAGTGCTGGTGTATCACTAATACTGCAATGAGCTTAATTAGGTATAGGGAAGTTGACTTTTACTAAATAAATAGCTTTCTTTTTTAGTGCAGACAAAATAATCACTTTTTTAAGTATTTCAGATACGGCTGATTATAATGGTTAAAATAATACTAATAATATTTGATTCTTATTAAATTCTTGATGCTTTAAAAACACTTGCAGAATATTTAAAAATAACAAAGCTTTAACTAAAATATAACTATTTAAGATTGATTATAAACAATATGTTTGCCAGCTAAGGAATATGGCTGTTTTCTAGGGTTGAATCAATTGGATGAATCGATTATTGAAATAATCGTCAGCCAATTTGATAATCGATTAATTGTTAATTAAGGTGTGAAGACTCTAAAACCTGCAATTAACTGATAGAACAAACACTTGGAGTAGTACAAATGCTGAAATTGTAAAATAAAATGTTAGGAATTTGTATTTTAGAGAAACATTTTGTCTGTATGTATTTTCTATCCAGAACTCCTCGAGTGACATAGATTTAGATTAAACTGGTTTAAATATAAGGCACCTTTTGTTTTCTGGTTAATATTAAAAAAATCAAGAGATTAATTGATAAGCAGAATAATCAATAGTTGCGGCCCTAGCATTTTTATTTGTACGACGGGTCCTGACAATTTATTCTTCAGTCACCAGCAGCTTCATGGACAACATTTTTTCCAGTTCTATTCACCTGTAGGATCCTTTTTTTTTTTCATAATTCACAGAAAAAGAATATCGAATTGTATCTTCCATAAAGTAAATCACCATTGGGGGTGTACTTCATCAAAACCTATTTTTATTTGGTCAAAATATAAAAAAAATTACATCTATTAGGCTTATCCTATATAGAGTGGTAGCTGTTGGGTGTGCTTGTTTCCAGCTCCATGTTAGCTTGTTATCACCGTATCCAGTAGGTGGGCTAGAGCTCCACTTCTCTTCCCACCAGCCTTTCGTTCTGATACATGACATTTCTGAAAATATAATGCATAATATAGCAGCCAATGAGAAGAGTTTTAAATCTGTAGTAGGGACTATTGGTCGGCTCTGCCCTTATATTGTTATGTGTTTATTGAGCCTCTTGATTGAGAGACATCAGGTCATTCCAGGGGTATTACGAACTTGCTTTTCAAAGAAATTGTTCAAAGAAGTATTTTTGGAAGAAGATTTGGAGCTTTCAAAATAGGAAAATGTTTTTTGTATTGCTCAACAAATTGTAAAATGCTTATAAACAGAATCTAGATAATTTAGACACATATATGGCACACTGTGCCGAATGGACCCATTTGGTACAAAACAACATATAGCATCAATGGACGTCATCCCACCGATTTAAAGTTTTGCGCATGTTAATTAGAACTACAAGTGTAATAAATAATACATACAACATGCATGCTATAATGTATGCCCAACATGTGGTATCTAGCTTTTTTTTTTTATTTTTTTTTTTATGGAAAATCCTCACATTTTAAACATGTTTAAACAGATGTAGTTAAAGTTCTGTAACAGTCACAATTAGGAGATTTTTATCACGAAAACTAGAAGCTCTGCACTTTAGAATGAATCCAGTTTTAATAGACATTGCCACTTGGGTATGTCCAAAATTAGTTGGGTGGTAAGAGGTAAAAATCAAGTATGGTCACTGGTTACACATGCAACATGGAAACAAATGCATTTGTTAAAGATATTGTCTTTCTTGCTTAATTGACTGGATCGCATTTTAGAGTTTCACCTAGTCCGTTTTTACTGTAAATATCGCATTGTTTCACTTTGGTTGGAAAAAGAAATGACCCAGTTTGTCAGTTCTATGCTTATATTTAATAAATTGCTAATCAAAAACCTCAAAAGTTACAGAAATTTATTAGCTAGAGGTGTTCGAATTTAGAATATCTTGCAATTTTGATAATGTTGGTAAATCTTGGGCAATGTTCTTTCTCATGTTTTTTTTTTACACACACTCTGTTTCTTCAGCATTTAACAATGCAATTTACGTAAGAGTTTGGACATCTGCATCCTAGAGACTGTCCATCTGTCTGAATATTACATTAACATTTAAATCTATGTTGTTTATAACACTTAGAATATATTAGTTGGATATTAATGCTGTCTATAGTATGGATATTTCCCACACTAACTATATGATGTTATATATTGCATCCTTAAAACTAAACTTAAATACCCAATAACCACAAGAACAATAAACATTAAAAAAAATGTACAAAATCCTTCCACCTAGTTGTTGGTAGAGTGTCCTTTCTGTTTGTGGAACATTTATCAAGATAGTGGTGATCTGAGCTAGCTGCAAGATATTTTTCTTCCTTCTCTGATTTCATGGCCATGACCTTTGAACTTTGAGATTTGGTGCACTATTTTTAGTGCAGTTATCAAAGGAATTATTCAGAACATTTTTAGAGTAAATGAACACAGGAAACACAGGATGGAGGTTACAGTCAGCTATTGTTCACTTGTTGGCTGCCTGGTAACTCCTAGTGGTTCTGTGTAATCCGTTTCATAGCTTAACTAGTAAAATTACATTTTCTTCTATTTTCTTTTTCATTATCGTCACATTTGTTTTTATGTTGGGCTTCTTCTCAAACTTAAAAAAATAAAAAATAGGGATGTAAACAGATGACCCAGTTTTGATCAATCGTTGGTTATTGGTTTGTTAGATAAAAATTTGTTCCATCACAGGGGGGCAGCGGTGGTGCAGGAATAAAACCTGTGACCCATTTGCAGAGGCTTTAGTCCTTCAGGCTTTCAGAGGTTCGAGTCTCGGCCTGGTGACCTTTGCTGCATATCTCCCCCTCTCTCTAAGCTCTAGTTCTGTTTGTCTTCTTTTGAAAAATACTCAAATAAAATCCACTAGGGCCTAAAAATAATAATAATAAAAAAAGGTTAATCCCAATAATTGATGATGTCAGTTTAAAGATAATTTATTTCAGTGTTGTAATGTTTTGGTCATCCTCTAAAGGGGACCACTGTTCATTCTTCAGAAAAATCTCACTGGTATTTGCAAGAGAAGGAATGCCAGAGCGAAGGCATGCTAAAGCAGAAACACAAATCAATTCAGAGTTCGATTATTTACGCTGTTTATGGCGACAAGGATGCAGAATGAACTTTAAACATATAAACACTTGAGTCATTTAGCTGTGCTGCATGGTGAAGCAGCTGTGCTCAGGAAGGAAGGGTGTGATGATAGAAAAGTGGAGCAAATTCCACAAAACATTTATAACCTGATGGGAAAAGACATTCAAAGACATATTTAGCTCATGTTGAGGAAAAACCCTCCCGTTACAAGAGAAAACTTAGGTTTGTATGAACTTACAATTAAATGTTAGTTGATCAATCAAATTTAGATTAATTATTCAATCAGTAATCAATCATCCTTAGTTAGATGTTTTATTTGTGAACTATATGAGAGTTATTAACTTTCCTTACTGGTTGGATCCAATAGTGGATTGGTCTATTGTAGGAAAGTGAAATCTTTTTTGTTTCTCTAATGCTGTTCTCTATCTTTCCCTCTACAGCGAATGCCTCCCACAGACTGAACCTGATGTACCTGGCTAATGATGTCATTCAGAACTGCAAAAGGAAAAACGCCATTAATTATCGTACAGCGTTTGCTGAGGTGCTGCCAGACGCCTTCCAGCTGGTCAAGTAAGTAGCTCGTAGAATGTGCTTTAGCAGGACAGGGTCAGCACAATAAAAAAACCTCTGTTCTGATGTTTGTGTTTATCACTGTAGGGGAATTGGGGTCCTGGGTGTGGCTTGGGGAGCAGTTGGGGACTGGGGTCAAACACTGTAAGGCTTAAACCTATGCTAGATGGTCACAAAGCTCCTTTATGTTTAGGGAAGTTTAGCAAATGTAATTGACAATTTGCTCTCATTCAAAATCTTAAGATGCCCAGAATCTGGATTATATTAATTTATTCTACACTAAGCACATATTTTAGAGAATGTAGTTTATGATTTGTAAATATATTTTTTTCTATTTCTCAAAGAAAAACAGAAAGGGTTTGTTGGTCCTTCAAATGCTTTCAGACCTGGTGTTAGTTTGTCTCCTGGTTGATTAGATTACATGGAGAAATATTCACACCCTGTGATAAAATCAGAGCAACTTTTTTAGAGGCAAATAAATATGTAACTCTGTCACACAGTGGGACATCATAAAGGTCTGCTGATGTTTCTGCCATGTCACCAATACTTCAAAACCGTTGATCTGGATTATTACTACTGACACATTTGATCACTCTTGTTATTTTAATCTGCTTCAGTTCACATATATGTTTCCCTCTAAAACAGCACTACATTAAAGAAGCTGGAAAAAAATCCTCATGCACTATTTAACTATAAAGAACTAACATTAGCGTTGCTAATGGATGAACATTTTTGGTTTTTATTTGGTTTATTGGTCTTTTTTTATCACATTACAATCACTTTGTGTATCGCCTTCTTTGCCAGTAGATAGGTTATACTGCTCCAAAATGCAGCACAGCTAAATGAGCACTTTTAGGTGATAACTTAGGGTGTTTATTCAGTGTTTATATTTACAAACAGAACCACATAAAATGTTGCCATTAAATGCTGTAAATAATCCCAGACTCTCAATCAGCTCGTGTTTCTGTCCTTGCATGCCTCCGCTCTGGTGATGAATATCATGTTATCAGTTTTCCACTATTAAATGTATCGGTAGCTATGTTTACATGGATATAAATAAAGGCCTCGTCAGATCAAAAAGGTGCCATGTAAACATGTCGGCCTGACTATTCTAATCAGATTCGATTCCGAAAATAGAGAGGTGTTGGTTTTCTGATCGCCGTCCTGGTCGGCATCCATGTACACGTCCATTCAGATCCTTGGAGTAAAATAATCTCCACAGCGCATGTGTGGCATGCTTTGTCCAGAAAATTTAGTATTTCCGCACATGCTTAAATGATTTATTTAGGGCTGGGCAATTAATTGCATTTGCAATATAACAGCAATTTAAGAAATTGCAAATTTGAAATTGCATCACTGGAAAAATTCGAAATCTAGATAAGTAATTTTTTCTTAAAATAAGTGCATTTGTTCTTGGATTGAGGACGTAAAAGAGACATTTTGCCAATGGAATAAGACGATTTACACTTAAAATAAGAAAAAACAATTGCATTGTCTTATTTCAAGTGCATATTATCTAATGATCTTATTTTAAGAGTAAAAATACTTATTCCATTGGCATATCATCTCATTTACCTTCTCAAATTAAGGGTAAATACACTTAATTTAAGACATTTTTACTTATTTCTAGATCGTTTTTCCAGTGGCAGAGATGCTCAATTTTGGTCTAGTTACATTTAACAAGACTAAGAGACAATTTTCATGTGTACAAAGTGGATTTGCTGCCACAAAAAATGAAAGAGAAACTTCTAGCTAGCGCTCCGATCTATGCTAGCAAGTAAAAGTTACCACTTTTCCAAACAAAGGTTAGAATAATGTTCCACAACAACAGACTTTAGACAAGCCAGCTTTTAAGGTGAAACTGAAACCCTGTGAAACATTTAAATGCTTGTGGTAAGTGCAAAAGAAAATCGCAATCACAATATCGGTTGAAAATAATCGCAATTTAGACTTTTGGAAAAATCGTTCAGCCTTAGATATAATCTGATCACCAGCTAGGTCCATGTATACACATGTAATTATCTACTAATTTTATTTAGTGTCCTTGTAGACAGATTTTGAATTTCTGATCAACCATAGTTTAGATCAGACCAAGGGAAGGTTTGCATATGTAAACGTAGATATTGTCTCCTGCAGTATCATCTAGTTAGGCGCTTTATTTGCAAGTACAAGGTATTGCTAAAGCATTGAGGAAGCATGTAAACATCTCCAAGTTGCTTTTAAAGGAAGAACTGAGCCCCATGAAGCTTCAGTGAAGCGTTTACGTTTCAAGGTTTGTTTTCAAATTTGCCACAAATCAGACTTTGCTCTTTTATATTCTTCTTTGATGTTTTTTTCAGACTTGAGAGTGACCCGAAGATGATAAAATCTGTGGAGAGGATTCTGTCCATCTGGGAGGAGAGGGATGTATATTCAGGCACGCTTGTTAATGATCTCAGGAATATCCTGGTTAAAGAAGAGTCGCCTCCTCAGACACCTGTGGAGCAAAAAAGTGAGTGATTCATCATTTCTGCTGACATTTCAACCTGTACATTTCCCACCCCCTGTTAAACGTTATGCTTACTTAAACCTTTCTTCATATCTGTTCAGCTTAGATATATGCTACAAGTATAAATGTGGATTTTTATGTGTTGTGTTCCTTTTTAATCTTTTTAAAGCTCCGGTTGTGTCTAAAGCTGAGCTGCAATCCAAGGTTGTTGCTGAGTTTGTGGTGAGTGAGATTTTAAAAACCTAAACTGAAGTATAAGGTCACCACCTCCATAAACACAGCAGACCGCTTTGTGTCCATTAACCTAAAGCTTGAACTATGAATGTTTCTGCTTCAGCCCCAGGCTTTTATAGACCAACTAAACAAGTACAAGAAATCCCTGGAGGAGGTTGACCTCAAAGAAAAACAGCTGGCAGCCATGAGAGTTGACATCTTCAGCTCTGATGCTCTCAGGAAACTCAAAGGTGCCTCCTTTACGTGCTTTGCCATCCAACACAGCTCAGTTTTAACTTGGAATCTTAGAATAAGCCATTTCTCGTGGTGTTCTTTAATTTATGTTCCTCTCTTGCAGATAAAGCAGGAGGAAAGAAATTCTCCAGAGATTTTGAGGAGGGAAGTGCTCAGCTACAGGAGTTTGTCAAGTTTTTTGAGAAACAAAGCAAAATTGGTCCTGCACTTCTTGAGGCTCTTGGAAATGCAGATATCTTTTATGAGATGCAGTACAAAGAGGTCAAGATTGTTGCTAATGTACGTATTTAAGCTCTAGCCTGTGCTTCTTTTTGTTGTTGCATCTGTTAGCCAATATTGTTTTAGTCCTATTCAGTCACTGTTTTCATCATCAGTTTGTGGTTGATAAAATCTTATAGTTTCTATAAGTGTTGTTCTTGAATTGTAATGTTTTTCTGCTTTTTTATTCAGGCCTACCAAACGTTTGCAAACAGGGTTTCCCACCTCAAGCGTAAACTGGATGCCCTGAAGGCCACCTTACCAGATCTGGATGAGTCCCCTATCCCCTCGCCGACTGCAGACGCTCCATCTCCAACAGGATCGGAATCCCCTTTTCACGGCCTGGAGTTAGCGCACCCAGATCCAGACCTTGATGGTTCTGCCATGGATGATGACGCAGAGCCGCCGGCCCCGAGTCCTCTGTCCTCACCAGGAGCGTCCCCGAAACCCTCAGAGATCATCGGGGAGGACGACAACCGTGAGGTGGCGGACATGGAGCTGTCAGAGGAGGAAATGGACAGCGGTGGCATCATAGGTGAAATGTCTTTTCTGCTTATGGGAAGTGATGTAAAATGAAAAAGAAAAATCCCTGTATTCACTATTCTACCAATTCTTCTCTTTCAGTCGAAGAGCAGAATGAGTCCTTCCCTCAGCCAGCCGTTTCTGCTCCAACCCCTGCAAAGAGTGAGCCATCTGTAGCAACAGAGCAGATTACCCAGCCGGTCAGGCCTTCTGCAGCCGTTCCCTTAGACGTCGCCGCAGCTCTTCCTGCAGCTCCTCCCTCCACCGTCCTTCCAGCCGTTTCCTCAGCCGCCCCTCCACTTGTTCCTTTAGCCGCTCCTGCAGATATTTCCAAAAACATCCTTTCAACTGTTCCTGCGTCTGCTCCTGTTGCTCCTCTTGCAGCTGTACCTGCAGCCGCCTTGGAAAATGTTGATCTGGGTAAAATTGGCTCCATCCTCAGCAGCTTGAGCCCAGTCATAAAAAGCACAGGTGAGTTCAAGTCTCTTTGTGGAACTTACAGCTGGATGCCTTAGCCACATGTAAAGACATCGAGCTTTTTGACTAGACTATAGGGTGATGTTTGGGGACATGTATGAAATTATTGCACATTTTGGTGAAGTGGCACCTAAATGGTAAATGCAGTCCACTGTGTGTTCAGCGCATCCAAAAAATACTTGGAGCTCTTTCCTCAATAATGATTACCAATTTTATACCAATCAGAATAAGGCTGTATCAAAACTAAATGTTCTTTCTGGATCCACTTTAGCTTAAGCTCTGCATGAATCCAATTGATCAGTTGAGGCTTTAATGAAACGGCCTTATTATGTGAAAATCAGGGAAATGGGGCTGCAAACTAACGAAACATGGCTGCCGAGCGGTCAGAAACCAAAACCGTAGCTCAGAGGTTAATGTGATGGTATAACGATTCTGTTTTCTTGCTAACTTCTAGTCAGAAACCCAACAAATTTGGCTTTTATGACGGAGAAGCAAGATGAATACCCCTGCTGTGAGGAAGTGGATTTTACAGACATAATTCACTATCAAATTTCAGACTTGCAGCTGTAATCGGAGTAAAATGTGTTTCTAGAAATTATTGATTCACAGAGGAGTGAATCTAAATATAGCCACTTTGTGGTTATTTGATTTATAAATAAATGTATAAAACCATGCATAGTTTCTTTCTCCCACTTTATCCTTGCATTACATTCTGTTGGTCCCATTAGAGAAGCCGAAGTCTGAAGGTGTGATGTAATATAAAATCAAGATGTGTAAATAGCAGATATATCTGTTGTATGGGTAAATGTATGAAAACGACTAATATTCTGTTTTGCAGCAACAGCAGTGGAGGATCATCCTACAGCTCCTCCAGTGATACCCAAACCCGCTCCTCCTTTGGTGCCACAGGATGCCAGTTCACTAGTGAACCTCCTTTCTAAGGTGGATGTGAGTCCTGCAGACCTGCTCAGTGCCCTGTCCAAAGTTCAGAGCCATAGCAACTTTAAGGGTCAGTCCTCATCTGATTTACTGTAGATTTAACAAAGAGCACTACATATGCGTTGTACTTACTGATTTGTTTGCCCTCTCTATTCCTTTACAGGTACTACCCCCCTCCCGTCTCCAAATGTAGCCCCACACCCCTTCACTTCAAGCAAGACAACTTCCTCATCCTTACCAGCATCAGCAGCACATTCTCAGAGCACTGCTCTGTCCATCCCTGCAACTGTACATTCTGCAGCAAACACTGCTGCACATCAGAACTCAGAGGCAGCCCCCAAAACCTCCAACAAAGCCTCTGCACTGGTCCAAGCTCTGCACAGAAATATGGATTTGAGTACAGATCCAGAACCATCTGTTTCCTCTTTGAGCTTAGACTCTAAAATTCACAGCTTCCTACAGGGAAACCCTGCATTCAGTGGCTTCGATCAGAGTTTTCCAACAAACCCATCTAGAGCAGGGGAGAGTTTTAGCCCAGTTACTGGTACAGAAAACCAGGAGGGAACCCCAGTCAGGGATGAGGGAGGAGGCACCCCGACTCAAGATGAGATGATGGATAAAACGGTGTCAGCCGCGTTGGCTACGAGCAAGAATCAGTCTTCTGTGGATGGAGCAGCCAAAACGGCCCCTGTAGCATTTGAGAATAACATGCAGAGGAACCCCAACAATCCTCAACATCCAGCTTACCCGCTGCCAGAATTGGCCCAGAACGGCCAGGTCTTCCAGTCCTTCCCATTCGGGAAGCAGGAGATGTTAGAGAGCAGGCTTCCTGCACCAGCTGAACATAATCAACATGTTGCCATGCATCCAGGAGGGCCTGCTTTTGGAGCGGCAGTTCAAAGCCGTTCCAGCATCTCACAGACAGTCGAAGGATTTCAGAGGGCAAACAACCAGAGTTGGTTTGGTGATGAACACCCAGAGAGGGGCCCTCAGCAGCCTAGCGGCTTCAACATGTTGATGCCAGGAGTGAGAGAGAATCGAACAGCAGGACTTTATCCCTACCAAACTGAGCAAAATCAGGAACATCAGGAGTTTGTTTCCAAACAGGGTCCCTCTGTCAACTCTGCTTTCTTTGGAGGAGCTCTTCCTCCTGTCCCAAAGGTACCGCCCCCTCCTCCTAGCTTTGATCCCATGATGACATCCCCAGGCGGTGGTCTGGTTAACCCCCCACAGCAGGAACCTGTACCCCACACGGCCGCTGGGGGGTGTATGGAGAGCAGAGGGGATAGCTTTTTCAGAGACCATGACCATCAGCATTCATCCATGCATCCAGACGATCTGTTCCATGACCCGCATCCACCTCCCCAACCAGAGGATATGCGTTTCCATGAAGATCCTGGACAATCTGATGGCCATTTCCTCCACGATGATTCATACTACCCAGCCGACGAGCCGTATTTCAGTCCTCCTCACCCTTATCCCAGAGGCCGTGGGCACATTCCTCCCCCACGCTCACCTTCAAGGGACCCTTATTTTGCCCAAGAACATCACAACCGCCCACTTCCACGTCAGTACGGCCCAAGGCGGCCGCCCCCTCCCCATCATGAAATGCGCCACCCTGGTCAGCGGCCCCCTCCGCCTCGGCAACCGCACTTGGCCCGCCATCCAAATCCAAGAGGCCCGCCTCGCCAGCCGTTCCCTCGTTTCAATGGCCCTGACCCGAGGTTTAGAGGCAAGCGGCCGGGGTGGCCAGGGCCGAGAGGAGACGGTCCTATGTTCCCTCCGAAGAGACCCTTCCCACCCCCACGGTACTGACGTCTCCATCTTGAGTTCAGGGGGGTGGGCGGGGTAAACGCTAGCTAATCAAGAGTGTTCAGATCCACACTCTTTAAAGCTGTGCAGATCCCTGATGGCATCAAAGGACGGTTAAACAGACAGAAGCTAATAAACAGAAGGAAAAACGGAGGAGAAGGAAAAACGGACAAGATCCCAGGAGGCTCCGAGAAGGCTGCAGAGGAAAGACAGAAGATTCAAGAAAATGAGAGGTGGATATATACATATATAAATATTTAAATATAATTCCCTTTTGTGTTGTTTTTCTTCAGTACGAGTTATTACGTTAAATGTTAAATTTGTAATGAAGCCTTAGTTAAATAAAGGTCAGATAGTTCAGGTGCCGTCAGTCAGCTGGAGGTTAACTCCTCGCAGACCACTCCTCATATTTCTGTCCCCCAACTTCCATTACCATAGAAGACTTAGATGCTGCTATGTTTTTTTCTCTAAATCAAGTTTACTGTCCAGACGTTCTAACTGCTACCCTTATAAATCAGCAGTTTACTTGTGGTTTCTTAAATGAAAAATCAGTTTAAATCCCCTTTGATCCTTTTCATAAAGCGTATTGGTTTTTCTTTTATTTTTGCAATTGTTCAAACCTGGGAATTCCCTATTTGTGAAGCCATGCTCACTTCACCAGTTCATCTAGATTTCTTCAGTTTAAGTTTAATGTCCCATTTAATTTTTCGGCGCAACTCTAGAAAGGTGGAGGCGTCTGTTTTTTTTTTTCTTTTTTTTTTTTTCTTGTTGTTTCTTCAGCATGCAGCACTATCAGCCCTGAGGAGTAAATATCTGCAGGAGGTGAAGACATGATCTTCAGTTTTATTTCATTGTACTGACCAATAAAATTATGAGTTTGAAAGCTGTGTCATTTCCTGTGTTTGAACATTTAACGATACATCACCGATGCATTAAATTCTGATGCTTTAGCCATTTTAATAATCACATATTTATAACGAAAAAAAAAAGAACAAATTCTCTTATGTAGTCATAATTCTTAATCCATTCCTTTTTAGATGTTCTCAATTGTTATTTTATACTCAGGAAATAAAGTTGTGCATAGTTGAAGTTATTAGCCCATCTGATACCTGAAGCACCTTTGTTTTTAATAAGTGTCCTGAATCCAGCCTGTTCTTGGGACCAGATTTAGCAAGCTCCCATAGAAATGAATAGTTTACGGTTGTGAAGTTTTATCTTTAAAATAAGCGTTATCTGTGTCCTAATACATGCATACAGTAATAACTTTTTTCGATGGATTTGTAGTTGGAGCAATAAAATGCTTAGATCTATGAGGAAGTGTTGGCCTTGATGGTTCTGTATCCCTTATTTTAAGGTAGGGGTACAAACAGGCAGTGGGAGGGGTCAGCAGCGGTAGTTCTTGTCCAGTGTAACTGGAGTCTGTATCCAGCAGTGGTCTTTCTGTGGCGTGCAGCTCATGTACCGCATCATTGTGTTTTGGCACAGGAAGTTCTCCTTTGTGGTTCTGTAAAAGTTCACAGGGTACCAGTTTCAGCTTCCAGAGGAAGAAGAGTCTGTTAAACCTTCTTGACCAGGATTGAGGTGTTTGGGTTCAGGGTAGATCAGATGGTGAAGGTCCTGGAACTTGATTTTCTCACTACACTCTACTGCCTCTCTGACTTATCAGGAGTCCACAACAACTTTGATTTTGTCGTTATTTGGAACAAAAGTTATTGTCTGAACACCACTGAGTCAGGCTGTGGATCTCAGCTATAGTTCATCTCTGTATTGTCTGATTTAACCCAATATGGGTCTATTGAGGGGGGTTAGAGTAAAGATCATCAATGGGATGTCCCTGTTTGGATTTGATTTAGGATTCTTGACAATATCATGTCTAATTTTTTCCCCCTGGGCATGTTTCTTGACATGAAATACATTGTTTTAGGTTATTACTAATGATAAAGCTGTTACTTGCCTTATCTGACTAAGATGTTTTTAGCCTGCTTGGTCCTCCTGCAGGTCCCCTGGCATTATTCAGCTGGCTTTAAGCTGTCTGTCCTAAAGAAGCTTCTTTGCTGTCCCTATTGCCGTCTATCCCAGTACAGAGCTATAATGATCATTGGCGTTGAGGTTAATGTTATCTTAATTAAATCATTTGTATCTTTGCAGTTCTGGGGTCTCAAAAGAACCCTCTCACTAGTTTTATTTGAATAGTTTTTTCTCCTGCTTCTGCCAGACTTGTTCTTTGTGTTGTGGCTATTATTTGTCAGTTCTTGACAAGTAGGAACATTGTCATATTTTAGCATCATATTTTAGTATTCCTTTGTGAGCTAAAACTGTGCTAAGTTCAAATAAAAAAAGCTCAGATTTCTTTCTCCAAAAGTAAATACTGCCACCTCTGTGCTTCAGGGTTATAATACTGAAGCCACTGATTTATTTTTTTATGAAGTAGTAACTGCTTTACTTGTGTGTAAATCATTTGTTCACATTTTTATACTAGTAGTTTTACAAAAATGCACTGAAAATTCCCTCCTATCAAAATAGCTTTAAAAAAAAAGGGCAAAATTAAAATCTGGGGTAATAATTTTGTCCTTGGCTTTACACACAGTACTGCACACAAATCTTAACATCCTTTATATGCGTTTATTCCTGCAGGAAGATCTTTATGTTTTTAAAGTGGACCTGATTATTATTTCTCCTGACTTTCTAACGGCTTGTTCAGGTTTTTATTCTTCGGTTGACCATACAGAGACTTTCATGTTTGTTCGTCTGTTTGGCTCTGATCTATGAACGGCCATGTTTAGGAGAATGTGGCTTTCTGGGCTATAGCTGCTTTTTATTTCCTTACATTTTTCTTTAAGCCTTGCAAAACTAATAGAATGATGGTTTGTTCATGTTAGATATCAAAGTTTTTAGCCTTCGTCTACAGAAAATTATATTTTCAGATATAATCTTTCGATTCCTTTAAACAGCCTGATCTCTAGTAATATATTGATTTAAAAAATCCAAAGTGGATAAAGCTGCTTTTTGCACTGGCTTTAGATTAGATTAGAGGTCGGATTAGAAAACGGTTAGCTGCCGTGTACCACAATGCTTGAATTTAAATAACTGTTAACTTGAAATGTTCTTTTTAAGAATTTAAATGCCACATATGCATTCCTAAAAAAAAAAAAAAAAAACTTTTAATTGGCATCCATATAGATACAGACTTACTGAAGTATGGCTATTTTTAGGCAACTTATGAATCAGTGCCAAGAACCACTTATAGAAACCCATTGAATAAGTTTTTTCCATTTCCCCCAGATTCTTCCAAAAACATCTATTTAACAGAAATCTAAAAAAATTAATCTCACATCAATAAGATGATTCCTATTCCTAGAGCCCCCACACACAAAACACCAGCATATGAGAAAAAAAATGTGAAATTTGACAAAAAAAAAAAAAACACTGGAAACAAATTATTAAAAAAATAATAATAATGCAACTTAGAGCAACTTGGAAATTAAGAAAAGTGGAAACACTTTGTTTAAATACTCTTTCAGTGCTTAAGTGCATTATTCCTGCAAAATAGAAAGTTTAAGCCTACTGTTTAATGGATTCTTAGCCATAAATGCACACCTCAGCATGTGTGCATTTTTAATCTTATTCGATTTAGGCACAAAAAATCACTGTGTTGAGCAAGAAGAGAGGAACTTGCCCCACTAGCCCTGTTTAAATGGAAGCAGTTTTATAAAAGTTTGTTTCTGTACATAAATCAAACAAAAGGTTAAATAAAGAAGAATAATTACAGAAAGAAAATAACCAAGATAGCTTTTTCAGGAGAGCCCATAATTATTTGAAAACAATTAAATCATACTTTGACCTTTTAAAGCTACGTGGCCATTTATTTCAATTTGATCCCCATGGAGATGCAGTGATCAAATTTTCCTGTGACTTCTTTGAAATCTATTAATCTTATTTCAGGTTTTTAAATCTTTCTTATTTTTTTAAAGCTTTTTACCCAGATATAATAAATCTGTTTTTAAAATGATTCTATGATGGATCCGGTTTTTACAAATTGGCTCAGTCAGATCTGCTTTACCTACCTGATAAAACGAAATAAACAGCCCAATGTGAGCTAGTTAAAAGGTTCAATACAATTTGTTTTTTGTTTTTTTAGAGTGCTATTTGCTGAACTGGGAAGAGTAGAGTCACATATTAATGAAAGCAGAGTTTAGGTTTCAGCAGACCCTTCCTGGGATTATTTATATGATACAGCTGCTTCTCTGCCATCAAATATCGTTTAAAAGAATTTAAACAATTAATTCTGATGCTGATGTATAACGTAGTTCTTGCATCTCAAAGTAAGATATCATAGTTTTTTTCCACCTTGAATTTTAACACCACTCTCTCTCCCTCCTCATCCTTAGGGATCAAGAGCCACTTTGATGTGTCTGATGTGACGGGAGAGAAAAAACTACGCTGTGCCACATGTTAGCTGATGGAAGTGAGGAACTTCTTTGAATCCTGCTCTGCTCCCGGTGATGATGGCTCTTCACGGTCTGTAATGAACACTGAGCACTGCAGCTGAGCCAGCTCCATGTTTCTATCCCATCTGACGCAGCATTGAGATTGGAAACATCCAGACACGTTGGGCAGGGAAGGTGTTGGAGCTGTGGATTTTAAAATGATTTATTCATTATTGATTTGGGGAGATTAGGGTTTTCTGTGACTTTAGATTTTAGATTTCAAAGCCCATTTCTCCATCCTTTTTAATAGTTGACAGATTGAGTTTAAGCTGTATTTGATCCAATTATCAAAATTACCTTTATGATATTTACATCAGTCAGATTGCATTATTTGTTAAGAAAAGAAAACTAATGGAAGAAGTATTCAAGATGCTCAAACATAAAGTTTTGCAAAAGTGGTGCATTATTACAAACTATAAGGGCAGGCATTCATGTTTGCTTAAATAAGAGTGCTTAGCTGGTGATTATGTTTTATAACCTTTTTTAAAAACCTTTTTCACATCACTGAGCGTGTTCTGTTCTCCTTCTCAAAGATGCTGTTTGTTCTCCGATGTTTTTAAAAAAAAAAAAAAACCTTGAAGAATCATAGAACAGCAGGAAAACCGCACTAAACACATACAAGTTCTTGGTTTTATGTAGGAGTGCTACACTGGAGCATTTTCACTTTTTTATGAAAACAACCTAAACATTGATTTTTTTTTCTTTACAATTCACAATGATGTGAAACATTCATTGATTCACATTCATTCATGAAACACATTAAATCATTATAAAACAAAATGATAAAATAACAAAATGAGAGAAAAAAGTTCAAGACGCATGATTGCTTTTGAAAATCTCCACATTTTGAAGATTGGGTTATATCTCTTTGATCTCTGTCATGTCTGGTGTGGAGCTCTTTGATGCACTGCAGTAGAGTCAGAAAGGCTGAGCTACGTTTATTTCATTCACATTATGGAAAGTTATTTTCTTGCTGATTTTAATTGCAAATGTGTGACATCATCTCAAACACATTCATTAAACTGTATTAGCTATAACTATGACTTTATAAAGTACATTGCAAATGTGTTCTTATGCATGGCATGAGTTTCAATTCTCTTACATCTTAAACAGAACCACATTTTATGAAGTAATATGTTTTGTAAATTTAAATATCCAATTTCATAAAACAGTTTAAAAGATTGAAAATGTACTTTTCATAAACTTCAGTCCAAAAATAAAACAAGCCTTCCATCCAGATAATGCAACTTGTGGGTTCTATCTCCTTTTCCTAGCTTCGCTTCCTTCACCTTTCAGGAGGTCAACTCAGTAAAAACACTGTTATTGGTAGAAAGGAACTCCACACTGCTGTGCTAAACATCTGTAAGGCTAACAACCTTTAGCCTTACAGATGTTAAAGAGCTGTGCTTGTACACTCTTTCATGGAAAGGATTATGGGCAACCATATACTGTATATATTGTATAACATTTTGTGTTTCCAAACTCCTCCATTTTCAGCTTTTCAATCAAGATAACTGCAGATTTTCAATGTGCCTTCCTCAAACAAGTGAATTAGTTGTTTAGACTGGTTTTGTGTGCATCATCGTCCACATATGTTCATATCCTATGCTGTGTTAAAAGAGAGCGACATGCCAAGTATTGCCAGAAGAACACCTTACCCTCTATAAACATGGGGGTAGTAGCACCGTGCTGTGGGACCGGTTACATGGAGACCTAACCCCATTGAAAGACTAACATTCTGGGCTCTTTACTGTTAAATATTGGTGGAAAGCCTTCATTTCTCAACCAGAACACTGAAAATTTATTAAGAACAGCTCTACCAGCACGATACAAGCACACAACGCAGCACTAAGAGAAAAAAGGAGTGCCTTAAGAAGAATCACATTAGGACTATGGAGCGGCCTGGCCTGTCTAAGCTCTTAGGGGAGGGATCATGAGCTTTGAGTTATCAAGTGGCATCTCAGAACCCCAGAAGAACTTTAGAACAGAATTGTGGCCAAAATACCTCCTGAGACTGAAAGACATGCCTTAGCACTGTGCTTTTCAATGAAGGTTTCTACAAGTTTTAAATGATGTTGTGTTTGGGGTCCAAATACTCATTTCACTCAATATTTCTGTGACATGCAAATCTTTGTCTTGACTGTTTCCTTTATGTCTATTTTAAAATAAAACTGATTTAAAATGCAAAGCTGTTCTTTTGTTTTTGAGAGAGAACTTCCCAAATCATCAGCTGACAAAGTATTGTCAGTTTGTCCCTATAGGAAACTTTATAGATTATTTTTCAAATACTGAAAATGAAAAGTTTTTGTATTACAGTCACATCACAGAATGATTGATTCCAGAAAACAAAAGGCAAGCATGTTTTTATAGCACATTTTCATAGCTTGATCATTCAAGGTGCTATACATGAAGAAAATTACACTGCAGTGACATAAAGGTGATACAAATAAAGAGAATAAAAATGAATAACATGATGAAAATGAAAGGAAAGTTAGACGTAACTAATAATGTTTAGATGGCGCAGCTAAAGTCACTCTAAGGAAATATGTTTTTAATCCTTATTTAAAGCAGCCCATTTACTGTTTTCTGTGAGTGTTTTCCAGATTAGTGGAGCATAAGAATTAAAAGCTTCTTTATGTGTGGATCTTGGTATGCATCGTAGATTTGAGCTAGAAGAGCTGAGAGGTCTGACAGCAAATCTGTAATGATTTTTTTTTTTTGGAGCAAAACCATTCGGCGATTTATAGATCAACAGAAGTATGTTAAAGTCTATTCTCTAAGTAACGGGGAGCCTGTGTAGTCACTGAGGTAATGGTTTTATTGAGATTACACTGGCATCACCATCCTGGACCAACTACAACTGTCTGGTTGACATTGTCTCGTCAGACCTGAGAAGACACTTGCAGTAATCAGTTCTACTAAAGATGATCACATGAATTAGTTTTTTTAAGGCCCTGCCGAGACATTAGTCCTTAAATCCTAGAGATGTTGCAGAGTGGCGGCCTAGTGGTTAAAGCAGTGCACTTGGAATCCAGAGATTCTGAGTTCAAGCTCCCAGGGCGCTGCACAATGGCAGCCCACTGCCCCCAAAGGGATGGGTTAAATGCAGAGAGTGAATTTTGTCGCTCTGTACTTGTGACTGTGTAATGACAATAAAAGATGAGAAAAAATGCTGGAAAAAATGTTTAGATGATGTAAAGTTGACCTATCTACTGTCTTTAATTATTTAAAGGTTCAGGTCTGAACTACTAATTCCAAGCTTGATTAGTGGTTTCTTCCAGTATTAACTGAATTGTGTACTAACTTTTAAACCTTCCTCCTTAAAGATATAGTGGAGGATTTTCGCAAATAAAAAAAAAAAGAAACAACTCTCCACTTAAAAAAAAATGCACATGCACAACACTATACCCGCTCCCGTGGGAACGCCTATTAGACGTGTGTGAGAGCATACACAAGCCCATTTGTCCTCCTGCATGCTCTGTTTAAAAGTTGCTGTTTGCATCACTCATACAAGCTTACTTTACAAAACAAGATTTGCAGTTTTTCACTATGTCAGACTCACCACCGGTAAGTACAAATGGGGAAGAGCACGTAGGACGGTCTAGCGTAAACATATCACCAGAATGATTGACAATGAGGAAGACCATTTTTTTTTATGATCCACCTGGAAAAAGAACATCCTCCACGTTACCATTAATTCAAAAAGTTATTTCTTCAGTTTTATTTCTTTTAAGTTAAATATAAGTTTGGTACATCTCTATTGATTTTTTCCCCCTTCTGCATTTACCCACTGCTTGAATGACTTCATAGTCACCTGGTGACATCATAATGTACAGCTCTCTGTCATCTGCAAAGTTATGGTAACTCATGTTTATTACGATCTTAGGTAGAGGGATCATAGGATAGGAGGGGCCTAAGATGGACCCTTGAGGAACACCACTTGTGATATTTTTATGTTTCTGATGTAAAGTGACGACAATTACATGTTAAATCTTGAAGGAGCAGTAGAAATCCACATTACAACTATAGAGAAGTTGTGCACTCCCCAAATCTGACCTGTATAGAAAAGATGCACAATGCAAAAAATCAAAAAAAAAAAAATCTAAAAATCTAAATCTTAATAAGTCCTATTTTTCTGAGTGCATTTTTTTTCTTGAAGTGAGGAGGTAAGTGAGACAGTTTGCCAATGGAACAAGACAATTTACATTTAAAATAAGACAAAGCAACTGCTTTGTCTTATTTTAAGTGCATTTTATCTCATCTTATTTTAAGAGTAAAAACACTAATTCCATTGGAAATGTATCTAATTTACCTTCTCAAATTGAGGGCAAATATACTTCAATTAAGACATTTTGACTTATTTCTAGATTATTTTTGTAGTGCAAGAACACATCCTGTTTATAGCCTGTTGCAAATCCTTTAGGGGAGGGAGGCAGAAAATAATAAATATCATCCATCCATCAAATTTTCATCATGCTTTATCCCAAGCGAGGGGTGCTGGTGCCCATCTCCAGCTGTCTACGGGCGAGAGGCGGGGTACACCCTGCACAGGTCGCCAGTCCATTGCAGGGCAATTTTTTGATTGATTTAAGTAAACAGTCATATGCTGAAACATTTTGAAATCTGGTGGTCTATTACATCAGATGCAAATAAAACCAAGATAAGTATGTTGTGAAGTCCTGAAAAATGTGAAAAAGTTAAGCATGTTTGAACATTTTTGTGAATTATTTTATCATAATTCTTTTAAAGTTGTCCTTATCAAAATACAAACCAAATGAAGACTGTAATATGATGTTGTGCAAGTTTTACCACAGCATGATCAGAAAAAATACCATTCTATGCAACGGAAAACACAAAAAACAAATTTTAATGTTCTTCATTACTACTAGAGAGCTTTAAAATAATCTGCACTAGTTTTAATAGCCCTGATCATGTTCATCCACAGTGAAAATCAAAGATCCACTCACAAAGCACCTGCTCACTCACTGTAGAGCTGCAACTAATGATTTTTTTGCAAATCGGTTAATCTGTCAATTGTTGTTTCGATTAATCGATTAAAAGTTGGATAGCAAAAGGTTCCTTAAAGAAGATTTTTTCACAAAATTAAACCAGGTGAAACTCAAACTTTTACACTTGAGGAGTTCTAGATAAAGCTTTTGAAAGACGAAAACGTTTTTTAAAATCTTAAATGCAAAATGTTTACAGATTTTCTTTTACAATTTTGGTATAATTACTGCTCATTGTGAGTTGTTTCTGCTAAAGACATGTTTTACAGTCTCCACACTCCAGTTAACAAATTTTAATCGCTTACTAAATAAGTTAAATATTTCAATAATCGATTAATCTGATTATTTGTTTCAGCCCTAGTTCACTCTTCCTACACTTCATATTAATATTAACAGGCCTTCTTCCTCCATCATGTGTGTTCCTCTGCTCGTCAGCAGATGTCAGTGTTGGTTTCAAACCACCAACCACTGTGTGTGACACAGATAAGGTTTTTTCCAAAGCGCTCACATGAACAATTAATACCCGATCAACTGAGTAAGAATCGCGTCGCTGCAACAACTGCAGCACAGGCTTAGACCGGATTTGGTGACTGATGGCAGATGGCGGTTCTTAACCTCTGAGGGTAGCAGAGCGAGGACTATAATGCAAGAAAAAATAAATTAATGAGTGTGAGATGGATTTGTGTGTATAGGTTTACTTTAAATTTTTCATCATAGTGTTTTTCTTGCTGTTTAAGCCCCATACGTCCAGATCGTGACTCCTTTGAAGTCTCTGCGTGTGCGCATGTGTTGGGGTGTGTGCAGCCCGCTGTCATGTGGGCTCATTGTTTACATGCTGCCCAAATCTCAGAGAGGGCGTGTAGCCCCGAGTGTCTGAGCGTGTCGTCAAATAACATTTAAATAACATTTTTTGCTGCTGTTGTTTCGCCCTCACGCCCCTCAAGAGAGGCTTTCTTTCATCCCTGATGATATGACACGAGTTGAGAGGATTCGTTTCAGGACCACGGCCAGCTCCACGGTGAGAACAAAAGGCGGATTTGAAAGCTCTTGATGTCAGGGACCGTCTGCATTTTACCGATTACACTAAAAACGGATACCGCTCTCTCTGTCGACGTACACTTAATTTTCTTAGTACAAGGTCTCAAACAGAATATTTTATTATTCTGAAACTTTTTTTTTTTCAGTCCCATGTTTTAGTTATAAAAGTCAGTTTTGCATACTTTTACAGAAGGTCTCAGTTTAAACTGTTCTGATAACTGTCTGGGTTCCTTTTTTTTCCATCTGGTTCCTTTGAATTGATATAAATATTATTTATGAAAATATTTTTTCATACTTTGCTTATTTTAGTCTCTAAATTAATTTCTTTTGTGTGTGAGCTTGTCTTTTTCCATTTTGGATTAATTTCTCCAGCGGGATAACTTGAAGACAAACATATGCATTTCAGGATGTAGGATTGATGGTTTTTTACACCTTATTTTTACAAATGTAGTTTCTCAGTATGCTAAGTGTTAATGTTTTAGTAAAACTATATGTTTTATGTTTCAGAGATTAAATAATTTTGAGAAAGAATGATTGTATCTACCTCGAATATTGACAGATTTGAATTTGAATGATTTAACATGAAGAATTGCTCCTTTTAACTTTTTGTGCAGTCAATAATAAAGAAAGAATACCCTCACCCTATCAGTGCAAATTGGAGGGTTCACTGTGTGTTACAATAATACAGTAAACATAACCCTTTCAACTCAAGTGATTAAAGGAGGTTTTCAAAACAATTTGTAGTTTGTCTTTCAAAACTCTTTATGGTTCGTCGATGGCAGAACTTCCTTCCTTCCTTCCTTCCTTCCTTCCTTCCTTCCTTCCTTCCTTCCTTCCTTCCTTCCTTCCAAATGTCTGGGATTATAAATGTATTCGGTTTAGAAAAGTCACAACTTTCACCATGAATGTATTGGTTTGAGATAAATATATCTTTATATAAAACACTATTAGTTAAATAAATATTTTTCAAAATACCAGTAAGACATTTTCCTTTCTTTATCATCTTTTCCCTGGTCTTTATAGATTCAATATTCATAGCATTCCCCTAGTTTAATGATTATTATCTAAATAGTTTGTAATGTATAAATTCCGGTTGTAAAACGAGCTGGGGCTCTAAAGCAC